ATTCCAATTCGTCCGGAGAACACGGTTTGTCGTCGGCAATAGCTTGCTTTGCGGGAAAAACAAACGTCTCATCAAGCAGACTGAACTCATACTGCTTGACGCGGAGGGGATTAATGTCACCCGTCCGCAACTTGTCCGGCAAATTCTTGAGCGGCAATACCAAAATTTCATGCGTGTAGGTAAAGCCAGGTTGCACATGATAGCCAACAAAAATGCCGACATCCGAAGTTGGCAGAAACTTGGACTGCTTCGAATCGACGCGCTGACGATTGATCCAGTACAACAATTTTGCACCGAATGGGATCTTCGTGTCAGGAAACTCATCACCAAAACGCAAAGCCCACGGCGACTTGTCCTTGTCATCTGGAATTGTAACATTGAGAGCAAATGCATGATGTTGAGCTGCCAAAGGCCAAAGCTCAACCGGCAAACCACTTTGGAACAGATTTGCTCTTGCTCCCTCCAGAATTGTACGAATCTCGCGCTCGATCACCCCGGAAGATTGACTGACATATGGCTGGCTCAGCACGTGTCTCCAACCCATACTCTTTACTGCAGCTGCAATTTCGCCAGAATTGTCAGAATAGAAAATCCCAACATGATCATCTGGCTTCGTGAAATGTTGAAATGCACGAACGCAACTGTCAGCATCTTGCCTTGCTGAAGGGTAAAAATTCCGGAACTGCGTGAACACATCTTTCACAACCAAAGCATTCCACTCGCCCTTGAACCCGTACGTCTCATCATTTGAAATGACGTGGTCAGCAGTCACATGATCTCCAAATGCTTTTGCATCCACCGAAGAAGATCCATGTCTGCGACGAGCCTGAGGTGCTTGCATCTTTGATCGCACACACGTTTCGCAAAAGGGGTTCTTGGGCCTGTGAGTGAAAAGATGCTCTTCACTTTTGGCCTCACGCATCATCATTTCTTTTGAACGCTTTGACATCGGTTTTGGAGCTTCCGCAACCTCAGGGTTGTCCTCCAATTCCGGATCAAACTCCGGTTCCAGTGGTTCAGCTTCATCAGGGCGCAATGGAAACGATGCGGCATCCGGCGGAGGTTGCCCCCCGCTTGAAGATGAAGGCACTTCAACGCCCCCGATCTTCTGATCGGATGCAGCAAGCGCAACAGGCATAGCGGATTCAGAAGCTATGACCTCGCACTGATCGTCAACATACGGAACTCGCCCATCGAGCTTCAATATTACCGCTTTTCCGTCAGGTCGCACAAAGTACGGAGCACTGTTCTTTCTCCATACGAAATCGTACCCCTTTTCCAAACATCTTTGACCAACAGAAAGAACAGCTGGCGTGCTCGGCAAAACATACGGAGTGACGACCTCGTTCAACTGATCAATGGAGAAGTCCGCAATCTTGTCTGCACAAATTGATCCATTTGCTGTTGAAAGATTGATTGGAGTCAATGCAGGATTTATCTTCTTTTGAAGTGTAACTGCACGCTCAGAGTCAACCAGATCTTGTTCACTACCTGTGTCGACAATCCACTGACGAAGCCCTGCTGGTGCTGGCGTAGCAATATACTCCGGCACATCGTCAAGGTTCGTTTCATCATCATCAATCCAACAGCCAGGACAATACAAACCGCAATAAATTGGGTCATTGTCATCATAGTATTCGCAATAGAACCCACAAGGCGCGTTGTAGTTTGCATGCATCAAGTCAACAACCCCTTCCAGAATCAAAGCTTTGTCTTTAGCATCGATCAGATCCTTGGGATTTGAGCCAGGCGCACAACCATCATACCACACAACCTCAGGGTCATTCGGCTTTGGAGCACATGATAGGCATAGCCCGTTGGCCTCGATCTCGACGATCTCGACATTGTCTGCGAATTTGACGCATCTGCGGGTATTGGAAACATCTGTACTGCAAATGAAAATTGTTTGCCCAGTCCAGTATTGCTCCAAACCTTCATCAGGATCCGCCCAGAAATCACCAAACACTTGCTCTTTGCCATTGATGTTGACTTTGGTGATGCGCTGATCCAATAAACGTTCCAGCGAAATCGGAAGGTCTTTTGCACTCTTCGGATCATAAAGCGCTTTTCGGGGCATCACATGGTGTCGAATGACCATCTCGTTCACCGAGTCAACTTCCCAGAAATCTTTCTTTGGGCGGCATGCTGCGAGGCATGCATTGGTCTCTTTCACCCTCAGACACACAGCGGCTGAGGACTCGCCCTTTTTGCTCTGGGATCGCTTTCTCCCTTTTCCCTTTGGGGTGGGAGACCTACCTCTGCTGGCTCCTTTCTTTGGGCTCGGCTTATCTGTTGCTGGTGCAGCAGACCGAGTCTCATGCGAAAACGCACAGTTGTCTCCACGAGTGCATTTCCCCTGACCGCCTTTGAAAAACCTGCACGGGATCTTTTTCAGCTCCGCTCTCTTTCTCGATGCCGACCGATCCCTGTCTCTCCCCTGGCTGTCAGAGCGCCCCCGGCCTTTTCCTTTCGGATTTTGGCTCGGGGGTCTTGGGTCTTTCTCATGCTTGTAAATGCAATTATCCCGAGTGCACTTGCCTTTCTGAAAATCGTAGCAATACCTGACCGCTGAAGGATCTCTTGCACGCCCAGGATTTGCATTGGGAGCTGGAGCACCGACCTTCTGATTGTGAGCTCGAGCGACACGATCACGATTTGACTGCAATCGCTCCCGAGTCAAAACATCACGAACGGCTTGAACAAGAAACTCGTAGCTCTTGTCATACGACCCATCTTTTGCACGCTCGTATGTAGCGAGGTCATACTTGATCTTGTGACATCCACGAATCTGTCGCAAGAAAATGTCCTTCAAGACGTGCTGCTCCGGCTGCTCCGGAACGATCTTCATGCCAGCAATGACGGAATCCCAATTCTGAATAAAGGTCATCAAATCATTGCCGTGAAGTACCACCTTCAACAAATCTTCAGTGGAATACAACGCTCCGGCCTCCTCATTTGTCCTGAAATACTGCTCAAACATGAGAAGAACTTGACGTCCACGGACAACTTTGTCCAAAGCAGCTTGTTGCTCCTTGTAGGTAAGGATCTGCCGACTAAGGTCGCCCCTAGCAATCCGCGACAAGGCTGCAAGAAGCTTTGTATCCAACGTTTCAAACTGCTCTGGATCTCCAAGCTCTAACATGAGATTCTTCTTGTCCTCCCGGTTGACATACACCTTGTTAACCCAGGTGAATGCAGCGTCAGGCCGATCTGAAGCAGCCCGAATCTCTTCGCGAGTAGCCGTTTTCCAGGCTCTATAGGTCTCAGGAGTGGGAAACCCACTCAGCCTCAACGAATCAGCTTGCTTTGCTTTTGGCCGATCATGCTGATTCCGGACAAAGCCGAGGAGGGCCGCACGGAACTCCGCCTCGGTGGTCTCGGGACCAGTCAACCGATCAATGTTCGGCTGACTTGTCGGCTGATTTTGCTGACTTCTGCTGTTTTCTTGCTCCGAAGACCGTCTCGCATGATCTTTGATATCAAACTGCATTGCACCAGAAATAGGATCAGTCCAACTCTGCTGTGGAATAATCTGTGGCATAGTTCCAGAAGTTTGTGCATTCTGCGTTGGAAAAAGACGCGGATCATCAAAGATACTGCCCCTCTTATCCAAAAACGACTCCGAACTGACGTTCTGAACACTTGACGCAGGCTGAGGATCTCCGCGCACCATTTCACGCTGCGCCTTTTCGAGATCGTTCCTCAGACGCTCAACGGTGTCGTTCAGCCCGTTGATCGTGTCCTGCATGGCGTGGTTCTCCGCCAAAATACTGTCTCTCTGCTCACCGACCGCCTTCTCCGAGTTCTCCATCACAACAGTCTCAGCATGTAAGCTTTGTGCGAAAGCGCTATACTGTGCCGTTCTTTGCGACACAGCTTCGTTCACTTCGGCAGAAATTGCTCCCCGCATCTGGCTAACCTGGGCGCTGAAGAAAGCGCGGGACTCTGCGAACTGCTCGTGCAGCTCAAGGGTCCGGCGGTTGTTCTCCTCGTCCAGGCGATGCACAGTTTCCGCCAAATGAGCGCTATATTCCGCCCTTGCAGCATCCATAGCAACGCGATGTAACGTGTTGGCCTCTTCCCTAACAGCGTCACCCGTGTCGTTATGCACATGCATGATGTTCTGGGTGGCTTGATAGTTTGTCGCGAATCCGAATACGTTTCGAGGATCGCGAGGGTCGACAGGACCATTGGGTGCAACTGCACCTTCACTACCGTCACCAACATCTCCAGATATATTGTAAATGGCAGGCATATCTCCGGATGCCATGGCGATCTTTGTACAAGCCTTTACGGCTGATAACCTGTGTTATCAAGCCTAGGCCACCTAAGGGAATACCTAGGCAAGCAGCAAACCGTTGACTACCTTTTCACACTGCTGTCAGTGATCTTGAAGTCTGTAGCGGCGGAGCATGTACAAGTACACTCATGCACAGGGTTGGAACCTGAATCCACAGTTTTCGCCGTTTTGGGGTTGACAATGTTGGGTGAGAGCAAACAAACCAAACAAAAACAAGTGCCACCGAAAAACTTGGTACTTTCAAGTACTATTCCGCCCCAAACAACAAATCGCCGAGCCCAAACAACCCAACTAGGGGCTGGGTGTTTCTTTTTTCTAGGGGGATCCCCCCCTTTTGGCTCCTGTTCCGAAAATGGGCGAGTTTGCACGGGGGTACACTCTTCTAACGTGGAGCCCCAACAATTGCGGCTTCCCGAAAAGAACACTCGAAACACACATCGGCTTTCCGGGTTCCGTGTTGATCCGTGCCTGTTTAGTGGCTAAATACCCTTGGGTTCGCTCTAAGTCTACAGCGACACCAAACAGAAACCCCAGCATTAAAAGCCCCCTCATGGCACCCTTCGCCAAATCCCCTTGGGTTGGTTTAGAAGTGAGGGAATCCAAACAGAACCCCCATGTATGGTCCCCCTTAGCCATCCAGGCGGCGTTTTTTTCCGGTGGTTTTTCGCGCGGAAAGTCTGCGACTGGCTCGAACCCAGTCCTCCAGAGAAGCGCGAGGCAACCACATCCACCTCCCGAGGGCCTTTGGCCAGGCCTGAGCTCCGAGCTCAGTGCACGGGACCACTCCGGCTTTTTTCGGGTGGCCCTGAAAGAATGTGTTTTTTTTTGGTGCTTATTTTTGTTTCTTGTGCTTTGGAGAGTTCAATCCTTAAAAATATGGGTTTGTGGATGTGTTTGCTTGTGGCTTTCGGGGAGTTGAAGCCTTTGAAGCAATGGAAAAGCGCGGTTCCGCCGGTGTTTTGACTTGATCTGGACTCAAGCCAAACGGGCCGGAGTGTGCTTAGAAACCTCATTGTTTCAGCATCATACCCGAAAAAACAAACAAGTTTTTGGAGCAGGGGTTGGTAGGCTGGGAATAGACCCGCATGGACCATCAATTGGATACATGTGTGGCGAAAGCTTCGGAAGCCCACCCAGGAATCTTGAAAGCGGGGCAAGGGCAGATAGGGATTCGTCCCTCCAGGACGCCCAAGTAGTGTTTGGGGCCCAAGAAAGTTGGTCGTTTGACCCGGCAAAAAAACTTGGCAGTCAAGCCACACAAGCTGCAACCCACCAACTCCTGGGCTTCAAATCAGCCCGGGAATTCTCAAGCCCCGGCACATCCCGAGAAGTTCAAGGCTCGAGGCTAATGCGAAGCCGGGTGCGAGACGCCAAGCAGCTGAAGTGAAAGCCGGCCTCCAAGTGGATCACCTCATCTGCCTGCAGCGGGACTTGGAAAAACCGAGGGGCATGAGCATCAAGGCTGAGGGTCCTCAAGTGAAGTACTTGTGGGAGTTCTCAAAATAGACCACCGCCCCCTTTCAGGATGAAAGGGGGAAGCTTTAGGCTTGGTTGCTGTAACAACCCCTCTGTAAAAGGTGAACAACATTCGACCCATCCACACACTTTCAACCAAACAGTTTTAAAGTCCGAAGACCTGTTACCAAATCGCAATAGCGTAGAGGTCCGCTTCCAATCTTTTACCCAATAGCCAAGCTCAAGGTAGTCATTGTCCCGGTCGATTTCCCCACAACGGCCGCCAAATCAAATGAAACTATAGTGCTCCGAGTGCAGTAAATAGCCGGACTCCTTAAGTAAAACACTTCCGGGAGAGGGTCTCAAATTAGACAACCCCCCCACTTTTCACCAGAAAAAAGGAAACCTGTAAAAGGCTCCGAGTCCCATGTTTCGAGAACCATCTTTGGGTCCCAACGGCGGATTCACCCGACGCACGCCCGAAGCCCCGAAGCCCGCTCTCCGCCGCGGCACCAGGCACGCCAGGAACTTCAGCTGATCTCTGCAAGGCGGCTCCGCAGTCGGCGCCTGGCCGGAAGACTCCGATTTTTTGGGCGTTAAAACCAATGGCTGTGGCTCCAAAAAATGTGCCCAAATGGCCCCCCTTGGTAAATGGAACCAAAGACTAAAACCTGCGTAACCCTAACTGTTGAATTTTGAGCTACACCCAAATTGAAGGAACCAGACAAAGATTGTCCTTTCTTTTTGTTTTTGGAGGGGAGCTTTCTTCGAAAACTGGTGAAACCAAGAAACAGACAGGTTCTTTCTTTTTTTTGGGGGGGGGCCTTTTTCGAAAACTGATGAAAACCAACACAAAGTGTTTCAAGTTGGTCAACTCAACCGGCAAGCAGTGGCTTCCATGTGGCTTCCCCTGTGAACAGTGGTTCACGTTTGGCTAATGGGGGAAGAAGCATCTTCCTCCATGGTTTCAGCTTACAAGTTTCAGGCAAAACGGGCCCACCCTCCCCCCCCGGTCAATGCAATTATGGCTGCATGTTGAAATTGGACAGCTCAAACATGGTGGACGTAAATCTCCCTGCAAATGATGTCCAACAGGACGCCGCTTCAAACTCCCAAGAAGGTCAAACAGGCTTCAGGTGTTGCTTGGGGTGCCATCACCCAGTGCTCCATCAATTGCACAGTCTCAGCCCTGCCTGGCGATCTTGGCCACCGAGGCTTCAGTTCTTGGGACCCATTTTATGTTCTTGACCGGTAAAATTATAATAAGTCTCATTCTGATCGTTCCCTTAATGACCTTGCGCGGAAAAGCAGGCTCGCGGATCCCTTCGTGTGGGTCTGTTTTTGCTTTTTTTGTCACCCGCACACTGGCTTGCGCAGCACGGACACCAGAAATCGACCACAGCTACACCTGGCTTTTGCATGAAAGTGGGTATGGATTACTGTTTGAGGGGCTTGCAACAGTCCTTTCCTTTTGGGAGGCCTGTCCACTTCCATTCTTGGAAAAAGGACATGCACCCAGCATTTTTGGGAGAAAAACACCCATTCTGCACCAAACGGCCAGCGAAGCGCCGGTCGGAGACTTGCCTCGTCCTCCCTTTCGACACGCTCCTCTTCCTGCGCTGCTCTTGTGGGATGTCGCGGTCTTCACCCAATACTCAACTCTCATAAGACGCGAGACTGGGCTTTCTGGTACCTGAGAATGGGGATTTTCAGGTACCCCTTCTGCGCAAGCCTCTCAAAAGAAGTCTTTACCATGGTACGCGGGCCGGCTCTCTTGTACTCTAGGGTTTGTTTCAGGTGCCCCGCCTGTGCACTGACCCTATGACAGCACCGCAAGACTGCTAAAATGCAAACACGAGTGCAACATTTGGTGGAATCCACATTTGGCGGAACGCACAGTTGGGGCATCCAGCATGTTATCCAGATGCACCGTGAAGAGCATTCACAAGCTTGAGTCGGCCAATCATTTTCGCCCTGGCCATTCGATCTTGATGCGTCCTGTTTCTTGTAGTTGTCGAGGGCCCCCCAAAAAGGGTCCCTGTATCCTTATTTGGTGGTTTGGATTGGTGCCTGTTGGATTGTTTACCTTCCCATCTACTCCCAAACCGCAGAAAGGATCAACTCCCCAAACCACCAATCCGAACCACCAGCTATCTGCGGTGATGCCATTTGCTTGGGTCCAATGAGCACTTCAGATCCCTCAGCCTCAAAAGGACCAATCGTACCTGGGGGTTCAACACACCTCGGACTTCAATTTCTTCTACCCATCACTTCAGTAAAGGGTAAGAACGCATAAGATCTTTTCAAACGCTGACCCAAGTGACAAAATTCCTCAGACACGCGAAAAAAAACAAAAAACGGCTGCTGTACAAGGGAGCCTGCAAATCGACCTGACATCTGACCGGCTCGAAACAAACGGGATCCCACCAATACGGTAGGACCTAGCGTCACATCCTTCTGCACCCCTCAGCCCGCCTGCGCCCGCGGAGGCCCTTTGGGAGCGAACATCTTGCCCGGCACGTGCCTGGAGTGCCCGTCGTGTCCAACATGCCATGTGGGCAAATTACGAATCACACGCCGGACATAAGGAATTCCCTCATCTGGACAAACTCATTTTATATTTTTCCGCATGAGCTCGTTATAACTTGTCCAAGTTCATGTCTTTCTGGGCTAAATTCAAGCGGGAACAAAAACGGTAGAGAACAAGAATACACCTTACACAAGCACCACGCCAAAACAAAGAAAATAGCTGAGGCAAACACCGGGTTTGTGTATAGCTTCTGTATTTATGCCAGCCAAAAACTGCCGAAGTGGCGATGTTTCACCCACAACAAGTGAAGCCAAATAATCTCCAAGAACTCTCCAACATACATTTTATGCATACTCCAGCCAGTGCATGATGCTTCCTTTCATAGTTCGAGTCCGGGAACTCGGGGAGTGAGGAAACCAGGCCAAAGGTGGGAAAGCCCTAGGCCACCATTCAGCTCGAGTAATTTGGCCCACGTCTTAGTGTAGACCCAGAATATCCGCCTGTTGCACATACGGGTCCCAACCCTTCCATGATGAGGATAGGGTTCCGGGGTATGCTCGAAAAACGATGTCCTGCTAACATGAGCTCAGCTTGCCAGCTCTCAGGGCATGAGGGAATGACCTCCGAAGCATGCCATGTGGCTTCCTTGCGGGGAGTTATCGGGTTCTTTCCCGAAACCTTTGGGTGATTCCTCACAGAGCTGTTTTGTTAAGGGGTTGAACCAAAACTGGTGGACCCAAAGCCCAAAGGAAGCCGACAAAAAAAAAACTAGATTCCAAATCAGTTCATCAGCTTCGTGGAAAGAAAAACTTACTTCCATTTGCTTAAGCCCCTGGAGAAAAAGTACAAACACGAAAAGATAAATGATCTTCAACACCAACAGGGGAACATCACAAATCTTAAGCAAATAAACAAGTAGTGTTAAACACCCATAAAAGCCATGGTTAGTTCAGTGGGTTTTCTCACCAGGCTTACTGACCGCTTACGTGAACCCTTTAAGTAGGGAACCCTTGCTTCCATTTACTTGAGCCCCTTGAAAAAAAAGCACAATCCTAATTCCAGTAGTGATAGATTCCCTTCAACACCAACAGGGGAAAATCGCAAAAATCGTCTTCACTGGGCTGTCCTCACATCCCCCCGCTAACAGTGATTTTTTTAGTGGGAATTAAATGGACAACCCCCCACTAAACACTAAAAACCTAAATAATATTTTTTTAAAAACAAAAAACAAAACTCAGGAACCGGATGGCTGGGAACCGCCAAGCTCAGCACGAACAGCTTCCCGCGTCTTCTGTCGAAAAACTGCTAGATCCTCCAGTAGAGAGGTTAGAACAAGGGTACCCGATTTTTTTCCTGTAGTCTATTTTAGGGGAACCCTCCTCAAAAAAGTTGGCAAAAGTACTTTAGTAGGGGGTTCCCCCTCCCAACCCCCCCCCCCCAAAAAAAACAAAAACTCCCCAAACAAATTGGTAAAAAAGGAACCCACCACCAAAAAAAGACGGTACAGAAGGGCACCGCTCGCTGGGGGACGACTGGGCTGCGGACTGGCGCGCCAGCACCTTCTGGGCCGACAGAGCTGGGCACTGCCGCAGCCAGAACTCCACCAGCGCCGCGAAGTAGTGCCCAATCCTCACACCGCCGTGCGGGAGACTGCGAGATGTGTAAGCTCCAAAAAATGATGGATACATGTTTTTGTTTTTTTTTACTTACATATATATATATATGTATACAATATTTGCATATGTATAAATACACAAATAAGGCATCTGCATACCCCCCCCCCCCCCCCCCCCCCCCCCCCTGTGGGGGTGGGGTGGGTGGTGGGGTGGTGGGGTGGTGGGGTGGTTGGGTGGTTGGGGTGTGGTTCGGAGTTGGTTTAGGCTTGGTGGGTTGTTTCAGGGTTGGTTCAGGGTTGGTTTGCGGTGGGTTTCGGGTGGGTTTGGGGTTTGGGTTGATTTAGGCTTAGGGTTGGGGTTAAGGAGGGGTTGCAGGGTGGTTTGGTTTAGGGTAGGATGTTGCGAGAGGTGCGGAAGTGTTGGTTCACGGGGTGAAAGGGGGAGTCTAGGACCGAAGCTGCAGGGCTCACACGGTACTGGACAGCATCCCCAGCATTGACAGCATCATCCCCAAGATGCGGATGATGCGGGGGAGTGGGGGGACCATACCATTGGGGGGGGGGGGGACTGGTACATATATATATATATATATGGTTTACTGATACTATTCGCACACCTTGAATGCCTTGGAAGCCTTGGGCATCGCCGATGTCCCCATAGCCAAATGGGATACACCCCAGATGGAGACACATCGCCAAAAGAACATACCCCCATATATTTATATATGAACCCTGCAACGAACCCGGCGTTGATTGGTTCTTTCGCTGAAAAAAATGAGGGTTCGAAGCCCACCTAAAGCGTTCTGAGCCTCAGGGTTCAAAACTAATTCAAGTAAGGTGCAGCTAACCCCGTGTCCCTCCGATACATTCACATGGCTTGAAAACTATCCAGCAAACACCTCCTGTTGTGGATCTGTGAAGAGGCTAGATCCTCCAGCAGAGAGGTTAGAATAAGGGTACCCCTTTTTCTGTTGTCTATTTTAGTAGGGGAACCCTCCCAACCAAAAAAAAAAGAAACGGTAAAAGTTGGCACTACTGGGGGACCTAGGAGGGCTTTCGTCCTGCCTTTGGATCGGGCAAACTACCTGTTCCATTTGGTCAAGACCCCTGGGAAAAAGACAAATACGTCCAGTAGTGATAGAATCCTTTTTAAAACCAACAAGGGGGAAAAAAAACTTAACCAAATGGAAGCTGATAGTATAGTTCTCCAGCCTTCCAAAGAATTATGTCATTGGGTTACACCATGTTGCACCCCCCAATCAAATCCAAGCAACTGGAAACAAGCGGAAAAATGAAAAAGAAAAAAAAAGCAACAGAGTACAGTAGTACCAAGTTCATTTAAAACCAACCAGCGGAAACACCCGAAAAACAAAAATATTCTCAAGCAACTGGAGGCCTGCGCCTTCCGATCCGACCAAATTATTTTTCGTTTTCGGAGCGGCCGGTGGAAGTCCACCTGCGCCAGCAGCCATGCGTGCAGCGGCGCCGGGTCCGCATCCAGCTCAAGCAGCCAACTTCCTTGCAATACCCGCGGTGACGTCGAGGGTTGGGCCAACCCCCCAGATAAAAACACGTTTAAACACCCAATGTGCTCCAGCAACCTAGCTTTGGTTGGAGTGACACCAGTCTCCGGTCGAGCAGCTTGCCCATGGTTGGCTGGGTTGGTGTTTTGGAGGTTAGGTGGCTTCCCCAAGCAGTTCGCAAAACCACCAATCCAAACCATCAATTGAGGATTGCTTGAGCCTACCTCAGCTTTCTACCCCAAAGCACAAAGCACAAAGCAATGATTCCGATCCACAAATGGGGGACTTTAAAATGAGGAATCATAATCATTTCCAAATACATCCCTGTGACCCTGTGCTCCCCAGAAGGAGGTATCTCTCAAACTGGCGATGAAGGTATCTCTCCCAGAAGGTGATACTTTGTATATGTTCGTTGAATACACAATATACTTTGAATGTTCACACTGCATGGTATATTCAACATTAACATTGACGAACACCATCAGACATGAACATGGAAAGAAGACCCGCAATGAGCAATAGCATTCCGAAACTGACTTAGACGTGAACCATTGAACCGCAGCACAACAATGCAACGAGACATCAAGCATGCACGCTCCGCACCAGAAGTGGTCATGACAATAGACACCACACATTGAACGTTAAAATTGAGCACAGAGAAACGAGATTGACCGTTAGATAAACTAATGTATATACGTAAGCATCAAAAGAGAAGCATTTAATATAAGCATTTAGGCAACACACACACACATTGAACAGAACCCTCGTAACATGAACATGAACTTCAAACCACAAATTCACAGTGAGCAACCAAGTATGTGGCAAGCTAAGAAATGCATGTGTCGGAAGCCAACACTGGCGTGCTAAACATCTGCAACCTCAGTGTTCATGTACGTCCGTGCCTGCGAGCGTGCCTGCAAGACTGTGTGTTTGTGTGTTTGGCCTCCCAAGTTCGTCATGCATTGCGAAACCTTCTTGGCGGCTGGAGGCGAAAGCGACATGCTGGAAGTCGAAGGCTGATCAGTGGTTGGGAAGCGAGCAACAAGGGAGCAAGGTGCCCCTGCACTGGAGCACGCCTGAGAGTGGTCTGGACGTCTCTATTTGGCTCATGTTCATTGCCTACCCTGAATCTCCAAAGCTCCAGGCAATCTTCAGCTTTCAGCACAGTCCCAAAAACCTCAGGGCAGCTTTTTGTTGGTTCTGCCGGAAAAGGGGAGCCTTCTTGTTGTACTTTGCTTGTGGTTGAAATTAATTTAAAGAGGAACCGCACGCCAAACCTCTCCAAGCCCCGCAAACCCCTCACCCCACACCCTCGCCCCTAGACCTAGCAGAGCTGCGGCTGGCCACCGCCAGTGCTTGACTGCGCCCGTCCGGCCACAGGGGCAGAAAGGAGCCCTCCTGCCGTAAGGGTACACCAACCAACTCTCAAATGCCCAGTGGCCATGGGAAAAAAAGGGGTATCCTTTTTGGGTTGGTTGAGCTTAAAGGGGAACCCTTCCAAAAACAAAAAAGGAAAAAAAGGGCGCCACTGGGCAAATGGGAACTGGAACTGACTGGGGGGAGAAGGCGAAAAAGTATGTTCCTCCTCAGGCACATTCTGATGGACCCCATGTTCGTGGGAGGGTACCCATTGGTTGTGCGACCAGTGTAAACCCTTCACACTGTTCGATACAGCTCTTGGAGTCATAGCATGGCCAAAAGGCTTAGGAAATGGACTTTGGAACCCCCCGAGCAAAGGGACCTTCAAGCTTCATTTCCGAAAACACACAAAAAAACAACATGTCAATGTAAGCACCTGGGTGTGGGCCGGGTGGAACTTGGTTAAAGCTTAGAACCCCACTGGAGGGACCAGCGGCCAGCGCGCGAATCCAAGTGGAACATTGGGAGCGCTAGGTGTAACACCAATGCACGAACTCCAAACACGTCTACATGCTAGGCCGTCAGGCAGGCAGGAGTCGGGTTGAACCTTGGCAAGTTAAAGAGTTATGGACGTTATAGACATAGATTATTAGTGTGATGCAAACCTTGACCCATTTTGAGGACAGTTTTAGATATTTCAGAGGGATTACGAAGAACCTACCAGGAAATCGCGAACCTTGCTATATGGCTTGAAAAGAAGACTGGAAGACCTTGCGATTCCTTTTCCTTTTCAGCAAGTCTTTGTGCAAACGCACAGGCAGTCATTTTCCTGGCCCAAATGCATGGAGTAAAGGTAGGTGGCACAGCTCCCCCTTTCGGCTGAGTCATCCCCTTTACTTAACCCACATAAACAACTTTTGCCAGCTACTTTCACCTGGTGCAATTGGTGGTGCAGTATGGCTTGGCGCTTGTCAAGGTGGTGGGATCCCCAAACCACACATCTATACCACGAAGAGGGGTTGATCGCTACACGCATGCTGGCAAACTTCCCACTTGCACCTCTGCTCTTGGAACAAGCGAAGGCAAACACAGTCAAATGGCCATGCCCATTGCTTGTGGGAATGAAACACAGGCCCTTAATTCAGGATGACAAGCCCTGTTGGACTCGCGCCGACTTCCAGTAGTTGACTCAATTTTGAAGCTCCTGGAAACGATCCTTCCGTGCGAATTTCTTGCCACGACTCGCCAACCACACAGACATCGAAAGGCACCTTCATCATGAGCCCGCGAGGTCCCTTGACTCCGAAATCCATGCTCAGCGTCGACTCCGAAATCCGCTTGAGGGCAGAACTTGGGGCGTCGCCCGATCCCCTCCTGCAGGAGGTGTGGAGCCGCCATGACCCAGTGGAGGTCCCGGACCACCTGCTGCCGCAAAAGCGGCTCGTCCGTCGCCATGGCTCACTGAAGTGAAGCAACCGGGGGGCAGAAAAACTCGAAGCAACCCGAGCAGAAACGAGGAAACCTGGGGGGCAACAACAGCAACACACACACACACACACACACCTCGCCGCTTGTTTTAGGGATGATGGAAACCCCCAAGTACTCCATGGGTGTTGTCTGTTTGATTGGTCAGCTTGACAAAGCTGACCAATGGGGACCATTGCCCTGCCACACGTGCTGCTCTGCCCGTACCTTCCCCAGCAGAGATGTTATGCTCGTTTCAGCATGCGGGAATCATGACTGGGATTAGTGGGGTTCAGCAAGTCAAGTTGCTTCCCACTGCCTGTCCTAGGCGTAGCGACTGAAAAACGCACAACTTCAAGCACAAGCTTCATCCACTTTAATGTTCGCATCACGCCCTCATTCATGACTGAAAAGCACCAGCTTGCTTGACAAGGACCGGCATGATTTGGCCAATGTTTAACAAGGACATACACCAATTACCAAAAACAACTACCTGCTTGACACAGGTGACGTGCGGGCGGCGAACATCGCAAGCACACATGAATCAAACGCTTGATTGGACCCTGACATGCGCTTGAGGAGATAATTGCCGTGTTTAGTAGATCAATGACCAAAAGAGATTACCTATAGCTCACTGAAAACTCATGTAGACTTGTAAACAGCTAAGTCGCGGCAGCCCGCGTACTCAACGTGCTCTCCTTCCTTTCCTTTCCTAACCCATGGTGCCTCAAAGGCCCAGATTGACGTGTAACGTGTACGTGGGCATAGGCCAATGTGTCATCTGCTCCTGAACCCCCAAAGGCATAAAAGGAATCAGAGAAAACCATGTGAAACCCAACGAAACCACTTGGATCAACATCATCCCCTCCAGAACCATGTGGCCCAGTTTGGATGCACTGAGAGGAGCTCAGACTGAGAGCCCCAATCTTGGTGGATTGTGGCCCAGGCCTCCAGTGGCCCTGCGAGAAAGGTCATTCTGCTTGGGCTGACATCTCAGGGAAACAAACAGCTCCACCCCAAACCAAAAAAGTTGGAAAAAGGCCTCGTGGAGGTCGAGGAATCGCTTCACAATCGAAAGGAACTGCGGGGCACGTTTCCTGAACAACCAGGGGCTTTCCATTGGGCTGAAGTTCGGCTTAACATGCCCTCCCATGAGAGTTCCTGCAAGGGATGCTATGGTATGCTCAAAAGGTGTGGAGGTTTCCTGGACAACCTGTTGGAAAGGTTCCAACAAAATATCCAACAAAACACACCACACTGAAAGGACGCCGTTGTAAAGTTGAACTTGTAACCCCACCCATTTGAGGAATCAAGGGAACCTCCGAAACATGGTTGCCAAAACAGGTCAAACCCAACGGTGAGCAATTGGCCAAGTCCCTGTTGAGCAATGTCCCTGCTATTCAGGATCGGTCGAGGCGCTTGGGCAGATCATGTTTTTCAAAAACCAAGCCTTTGTGTCCTGTAGCAAAAAGGGACACAAACAAAAAGCGCTGGTGCAAACTGTTCACCATAAAGCTTCGAACATGTTGAAGGGGGTTGGCCCAAGCCTGGCAATAGATCCTTTGATTGAAAACGCCCCAGGCTACAAAAGGCGCATGTTGCAACATGAGTACTTCAGCCTGGCATAAGCAGAAGCTGAAAACACGCCCGGCCCGCGCTCATCTCTAGGAGTCGCTGGCGCAAGGCGTGGCACGGCACACCTGACCAGAGTCCAAGCAGCTCAGTTTTGTTTGGGGGGGGATTCACCGGGTTCCCTCCGGGGGGGGAAAAAAACATTGGACATCAATCAAAAAATGCAACATAAGTTTGACCCCTTGGAAATCAAACAACATTGCAATCAAACAAAATTGCAACACGATTGGAAATCAAAAATGCTTGTTTGACCCCTGCCACATAAGTCTTCCCACAAACAAAGAATGCTTACCCCTGATTAATAAGCCCCTCCACCCCTCAAGGCCCATTAAAAGAAGAGTCTGTGGAGGGTCCCCCGTACCTCCCCAACAAAAAATCAGGAACACGTCGTCTGGCCAATTGGCCATTAGGAATCCAGGGCTGGAGACTTAGCAGTGCGAATTCCATTCATAGTCTTCAGGGTAGCTTGTTCTAAAACTGAAAATAGCAGATAGCCGGACACAGCAGCAACTTTGTTTTAAAAACCAAGCTCATAAAGGGTACCCGCCCCCCTTCAAGGCCAGCCCTCCCAAACCACACAAACTCATGAAGGGGAATTCCACAAGGGCTTCTCATATCTTGGCTTGGCGGACGGGCTTTGGCCAAGACCCCCCTCCTGAATCAGTTTTCGGCATCCAGCGAAACCAGCCCTCAAGGACTGTCCCCAAACGGCCCCAACGGGCTGTAAATCCCAAAGACACCGTGGGAGGCTTCCGGCTTGGGGGGCTATGAACTCGCAGCCAGGAAAAGCCCTCCCGGGCACCCCCGGCCATGGTGGCTCTCGCAGGCTTGATGCGCCGCATGCACGGCCATGGCACTGGGCGGGACCACCTCGCATGCAGGTGGCTCCTGGTTTTCATGACTGAAGTTAGGCCCAGTTATAGAATGTATATTTTAGTGTTTGCTTCACTTTGAGTCACTGGTAAACTGCAAAATGTATCCTAAGCCTACCCCAGTTTTTAAGGGAATTCTAGTTGATCCTAGTTGTGCGCGCCGTTTTGACTGCTCGTTCTATAGGCGGTGGTATGGAGCGGCACGCTGCTCGGACCACATAAGCCCTGAAATCATTCCAGGTACCACTGGGACTGCAAGCCGCACCGTGAAAACCTGAAGGATGACTGCTGGTTCTATATGGCGGTAAAGGTTGACGGAGGCCTTAAACCTGTGAAACAAGGAAGTGGATCCCCCGGGCTTGGCCAAGATCCTCTCATCAGCTTCCCGCTTCTTGGTGGCTTGGATTGGTTTGGAGGATAGTGGCTTCCACTTCCCCCTACAAGAACCAGGGTTCTCCAAACCACCCATTCAGGATTGCTCCAAAGGACTTCAGGCCTCAGTTGGGGGAAGCGAGGGATGCCATGCTCACGACTACACAGAACTGGTCATGCCCCAAAGAGACAAACAATCAAAGGAGACCGAAGAGCCTGCTTGGAGATGACCTAAGCTATGCAGTCTTACTTTTCTTGGGTGGCTCTTGCGGCAAATCCGTTTGGCTGGAGAAGGCTGTCGTACCGCACAAGTAATCCAGGCATTTGAGGGGGCAACCATGCAACTTTCACATAATGACGTCGCTTTGACAGGACAACCCTAATACAAACCAAGGTTAAATACAAAATCCGCCACAAATCAGGTCAATTCCGCGGCCAAAAAAGCCAAGGCGCTACAACATGTGTGAAACAACAAGGGGAGGGGTCTGGACAAGGTTGAAAAAAACATCAGCCCCTTGTGATTTCCTTTTGGGGGACACATGTCAGCTTGTGTGTGTGTGGGTTTCTGCAAGCTAGAGGCCTCTCACCTCTCATTGGTCCATGACATTCTGCTTAAAACTGGCGAGTTTCATGGTCTCACTAACCGAGATGGCCCCCAAACAAGGCTCAAATTGTTATGAGCGATGGGCTGGTTTCTTTGAAAACACCTCCCAAGGCTCCAGCTCGTTTTGACACACAGCCAAATCGAATGGTCGAGAATCAACTCCAAACCCAATCTCGACGCCCGAATCTCCGGTGGCCATGGGAGAAAAAAAGACGTGTTTCGCTAGCTGCTTTCAAGGGACGTGAGCAAACGTCTGAGAATGGAACACGCTACTTGCCCCCAAAAATGGCCTCACTCACGTCTCTCCACGCCTGAGACATCTGCCGCAGGAAGTACAGTGCCTCGGCCCAGCCTCAGATGCGGCTCCTCCCGTTCGGGCTGCTTGACTCCTTGACCACACAAGTTGGCGGCTTCCTTTTGAGTTCCTACTGGACAGAATGGGATTCGCAGCAGTTGGTAGCTGGTTTATCCCACAATTTAGGATTTGGTTCATCCTCAGCAAGGACATGTCCTCTTCGTGGGCTTCTGAGGGGGCAACTTTCGTGGCGCGGCGTCCTATCAGTTTTCGTTCAGCAAACAGAAGGACCTGCCCAAACATACCCAGAGCGGTCCACGCTGGACCAATTATCAAGCCAGGGCGTCGAACATCCGAGCCACACCGCCCTAAGTTGTGTCCTCAATGCCCTCACACGGAACCAGGGGGCATTCTGTCTTCCAGTTCCCTCGGGTTTGGGAGGGCAAACCCTACCTGAGCGCTTTTGAGTCCTTAAGCCGTTTGTGAAAAACTAGGGGCTCTGGGGGATGGGGAGTTGGGCCTCGGCTCAAGCCCGACGCCCAAACACGGATTACCAAAGCCCAAAAACCGAAAATCAAACCCCGGGAGTTTCCTCGTCAGCCTCAGCATGTGCGAAACCAAATCTCAAAAACTACCCGACACCCCCCCCATTGAGCCTTCACTGGTGAAACTCACAATCAAACACCCTCTGCACCAAACCTGGCCGAACCCAGGATCCCCTGCGCCACGCACGGCCTGAACGAGTCACCGAGTCGCGATGAGGGGTCTGGGAGAATTCCACCTCTTGGTTTCCTTGAAGATCAATCTAAAGTTGAACAAGCATCCCCTTTTGGCTTCCTTCAAACAAACAACATCAAAAATTGCGAGACATTACCGAAGAAACATCCTCTTTTGGCCTCCTTGAAGACCAATCTAAAATACATGATACGCCGCGCTCAAAGGAAAAACTCAAGATCGCAAAATTCCTGAGCTTCCTGATGCTTGCTCACATCTTGGGGCAGCCCCGAAACCCATGAATGCCCAGATTCCAACATCCGGCTACAAAGGCTCTTCATGGCCTCGCTGCAATCCCGTGCTTCCCACACAGAACCTGAGAACGACCCTTTCTGGAGTCGCATGGCTACCACCTTTGAAGCGTGTCTCCAGAATCCAAGGATTTGCCTTCTTCTGGATCAGATGGACATGGACGACACCAACCTTTTGAGAACCCCATGGCGCAGCTGAAAAGGGGGTGTGCTCATGCATCGGTTGATTACCTGCCCCTTTTTGTGAAATCAGGGAACAGTTCTGAACTCCCCCAGT